TTTAACCCATCGTTGTTTTTATTATTTATTTATTTTTTTTTTGCTTTATTTTGTGCGTGTGAGTGTACTGTGAGATGAATGGTTAATATACGGTGCGGTTGAGTCTGTTATGCCGCCCGGCTTCCGCGTTGGCTGAAGTCCATGCCTGCTGACCGTTTCCTGAACATTGTTTTCTTGTTTTCTTCTTTTTTTTCTCTCCTTTTGTGGTTGGAGCGTAGAGGGCGACTTTTGTGTTTTTGTCTGTGGAGTTCATACATTTACGGGTAGAAAATGTTGCTGGCGATCGCCCGTTGCTGCTAAACACTGAGGCCACGGGTATTCCCCCACCTCCTTGCTTTCATATGGAAGAATGATGGTGCGTCCTGCGGTGGTTGTGGTGGCGTTGGTGGGGAGGGGAAACGACGCATGTGGGAGGGGCCCGCGTTGACGCATTAAGTGGCTTTTTTTTGTATTGTTTTTGCAGCCGTTTTGTGCGGTACGCGTGAATTGCGGCGATGGCGTCGGTGGGGATGAGTGGAGGCGACATGTCTCGCGGAAGGACTTTTACCCGCTTGGGGCGATTGCCCTCGCCGCTCCGCCTCTCCCCTCTCGCACGGCACAACGGCGTCGAGGACGGGGATGGCAGCGGCGAGGGCAACGATGGCGGGAATGGGCCACGAGCACAACAGACCGTCAGGCCTAAATGCCGGCCACGACGCGGTCAACGAGATTTACACAATTTTTTTTGGACGTCGGGAGATGTTGTCGTTTTTTGGCATTTCCTGTCGATTGGGATTTACGGGCGGCGGCACCGTTTTGCATGGGGGATGAAAAAGAAAATGAAGTGCTGCTTGATTGATGGCCTTTTCCCTTTTTTTTTTGGGTGGGGGTGGAGGGGGGATGCTTTTCTCTTTCTGTGTCTTTATGGGCGGCGGTGTTTCCCGCATGCATGAATGCGTTGGTCCCGCCCGCTCACACGTCATTTCTCTTTTTGGCGGATGCCGTACATGTTTGGATGTCTCCAGTACAGATGCACGTTAGTGTACACGCATGTATGATTTTTTTCTTTTTTTTTTTTTTTCTTTGAAGATTCATGCAAGACGCGCACCTATAAATATTTATTTATTTATTTATTTATTTATTTATTTATACGTGTATACATAACGTAGCAATTAGTATTTTAAGGTTTAATAAATAAATAAATATTTATTTATTTATTTATATATGAAAGAGGAAATGAGCCTGTTGAAACACCCGCAAGAAGGTGGAGATGTCAACCGTCATGAGCCCACGGAAAATTTTCATTTAATGCACGATGATCACAGTGTACAAGATATGGAACACCGTCAGCAATCCAGACATCATGGGGAGTTTTTACCAATGCAAGTGCATCTGATGGTTCAATTTAATGACGGCACCACACGTGAGTGGGGACCCATCGCATTCATGAATGAAGTTGTGCAAACGCTGCGTGCGGTGATGATGGGGTCATTGGGTGGCAACCGACAAAACAACGGCTCCATCCGTCTTTTTGACCAAGACAGTGTGGCTGTCAGTGTGGACGCCGATCTTCACGATGTAACTGCGCAGAAGGTACCAAAAATGCACCCGCCCGTATCGTTTTTTTGGATTGACATTACGGGCTCACCCGAGCCGAAGGATCTCAACGTCCTCTTTGGCCTTTTAAAGGTGAATGCTCGCACACAGCGGAAGTGGGGAGTCGAGGCGACGGGAGGACCGGCGGGGGACTCACTCAACTGCACGAATGGAAGCGTCTTTGAAGATGACTCCGATCCCTTTTGGGGGTCAAATGAAGAGAGGGGCGGGAGAGAGCCGGATGAAATGCATGTATTTGTTGAGGAACAGTATGTACAGCTTCAACTTGCCGTCATCCGTGCTAGCAGTCCACCCTGTGCGCATGATGCAACGCAGTCAACATACGCGGCCTCCAGGAAAGAACACGCCACGCACCAGCCGGACCGTTTGCATGCCAACCTTTTTGATGTGGACGTGGAAGAAGACCTTGGCCGGGTGGAGCTGCTCTGCTTCTCGGACGGCATCGTCACATGGCGCCCGGTGCCAGAGGTGGAAGGGTGGGGGTACATTGCCCAAGCCGTGGAGCGCCGCCTTGCCGACCCCTCTTCCACAAAAAGAGTACTCACAACCTCGAAGCTGCTCCACATAATTCTTGATGAACTCTGCGAAGCCTTCCTTCCAGACCCCACGTTGGTCCTCAACGAGGCGGATGCTATTGACTCCATGCTGCCGTTCGTGCGCCAACGGGAGTCGGAGCAGGTGGATGTGTTGCGTCGGTCTCTTCGTCTACGGCGACGACTCGCCGTGCATCGTCGACTCCTTTTGAGTAAAGTCAACCTCCTGGAGCAGCTCGGGCGTCCCGTCATGCGCACGCTGCTTGCATTCATCACTGCGAATTTGGGGAACACCGGGAATGTCCTGCAGCGACCCAACGCTGTTGTCGCTTCCAAACCGCTCACAAAGGCGCCGATGCACACTGATGCGAAAAGTGTGGCAGTGACAAACCTACGCGGCCTCCCTCATACCTCCATCATTCACCGCATTTTGTACCTTCTTCGGCAGCTCGATGGAGCCCATACAATTCTCAGTAACGCGACGATTGTCTACACCTCAACAGTGGCGATGCGAAACAACAACGTCAGTACGGAGGCCGACTACCGCATGGTGGTACTCCACTACGTCACTTTAATTATTCTTCCGTTGACTATTGTGGCCTCGCAGTGGGGAATGAATTGCTACGTTCCGTGGAAAGACCTCGACTCCACAACGCCATTCTGGACAATAACAGGCCTCTCCGTCTTGTACGCTGCTGCGCTCCTTTCATATCCCTTATATTATTACTTTACCGGAAGGCCAGAGAAGCTTGTCTAAGCCCAAACATACATTGATTTACGCTTATGTGTATAGGTATGTATGTATTTGTATGTGTGTACGTGCAGCCGATCGCTGGAGGAGGGAACAACAGGCGGAAACACCCACCCACTCTGTCCACAAAACTCCTTTTTAAGCCGAAAATTACACATGCAGAGGAAAGTCAGAAAAAAAAAAAAAAGAAAAGGGATACGGTGGTCTCTGCGGGGGATATCATGCAAGACACATATGAAAGCCGAAAAGAGAAAAACTTTTCCTTTCCCCGCCCATACAAAATAAATGAGGAAACAAACGAAGTGAAAAGAGAAAAGAAAAAAATATTCCACGCCCTACCTCTCCCTCTAAGAGCAGAAAGATGGCAAGAAAAAGAAAAAACATGACTCACGTTGGTCGCGTCGTCCCAATTCCCACAATAGGCATTCATGCCGCAACGGATGGAGAGTCAAAGATGGCTTCTCATCGCCCACACATCGTTAATCCCCTTAAAAAAGAAGTGGAGGCACCAGGGGCGTCTTTTACCTGCTTCCCACGCGGCACGGTTGACAGGGCCTGGGTGGGGGAGATGAGCGGGCGGTTAGAACACACATTTTGCCGCAAACCACAAATAGTAATAAAATTTAAACACTGGTAAAATATTATTGGAACACTTCGACCAGACACATTTCTTGCGCCACAACGTTTTCCCAAAGAAGTCATCCAGAAAAAAACCATAAAACAAATATAAAACAAACGCCGTGAAGGATGAACATTTATTGCTTTTTAAGAGGGAACGCAACTCATCCTCACACGGAGCCCTATTACTTTACGGCGGCGACGTCTTCAAGCAAATTTTGAAGTGAAGCAGTTTTTTCTTTTTTTCTTTTGGAAGGGGGACGAGAAAAAAAAAAAATGAAAGGTGGGAAAGGTTATACGAGCAATTGACGGCAACTGTACGCTACAGACAGATGACAGACAACAAACAGCGTGATTACTGCGAATTATATCGTCTATATATATATATATATATAAGTCTACACAAGAG